TACTTCTCCTCTTATAAAATGTATATTTTCTTTTATTAACAAAAATTTAGACTGAAAATTTTCAGAAGCCAAATGAAAAATATGAGAGAGTACTTTAGATTTCAACTTCTTTTAGATAAGTAATTGAAACATTTTAATCAAGTCATAATAAAGGATATATTCCAGTGATGATTACTTCTCCTCTTATAAAATGTATATTTTCTTTTATTAACAAAAATTTAGACTGAAAATTTTCAGAAGCCAAATGAAAAATATGAGAGAGTACTTAAGTTTTCAAAATTCTTCTAAAACTTATTCCAGCAAAAACGTCTGACTACTACTGTTCTAGATGTGGGGACACCTGACACTTTCTGCATCATTTTTGGCCTCTGGTGTGGCCAATGACGTGTAGGAGAGAAGCAGTCCATCTGGATAAGTCACACACTCCTGGATAGGCGGGCACCGATCCTTTCAACACATACTACAGAGAACACAGGTGAAGCTCTCCCACTGGCTCTCCTGAAGCATCACCTGCCTCAGTGAGCCTAGGATCTGAGAAAATTACCCAACTCTTCTCCTCCTTAAATTAATGGCTCTACCAATTGGTGGAATGGAGTAAGAAATATATTTTATACACCTCTTGTTACAAAGCACTATAGTAAGTGTCCTTATATGGTTGCAGTTAACACACACTACTAGAAGAATTCTACTTTGATGACATTCTTAGTTTCAATGTACCTAGAAGTGAGAAAAATTCAAATTATCCAAGTACTCCCCAGCACATTATATTAATATTTATATACAGACAACTGATTTTTATATTTGAAGATACTTCTACGTTTTTACTTTATCTAGCCTAAGTTTTGTTCCTTTAAAGTCACGTTAGGATAAAGATTTAAAATACTAACCAAAGGTTTCATAAGGTTCTTCATCTTTCTCATTTTCACCCAGCCTGCCAATGCTTGAGCTATCAGAATCATCAGGAAATTCAAACACATCAGAAGGCTTGTGCTTTTGACCAGTTTTCTAAAAGTGAATAAAGTCAAAGTCACTGAATTGGCTGTCACAAAGAACATTACAAAGCTGATAATTATTTAGCAAGGATATTCTTGCTATCACTGCTGCCCAAAGAAGCAATCCTTATACAGGAGATGATGGATACACTGACTACCCTGACTGGGTCATTAGACAACATATGTATGTATCGAAACATCAAATTGTATCCCATAAATATGCACAATTATTATGCATCAGTTTAAATAAATAAATAAAAGAAGCGATCCTTAACACTTTTTTGGGAAAACAGACTCCATTGATAATCTAAGGCAGGGATTGGCAAACTTTTTCTATAAAGGACCAGAGAGTAAATATTTTAAGCTTTGTAGGCCATAAGTTTTCCGTTATGCCCACTAACTCTGCCATTGCAGAGTGAAAGCAGACAGTGACAATGCAAAAAAGAATGTGCATGGATGTGTTCCAATAAAATTTGACTTACGGACACTGAAATTTTAATTTCATATCATTTTCACATGTCATGATATATTTTTATTTTATTTCAAGCATTTAAAAATATAAAAACCATTCTTAGCATGCATGGCTGTACAAAAACAGGTGGCAGGGAACTGTGGCTCATGCCTGTAATCCCAGTGCTCCGGGAGGCTAAGGCAGGAGGATTACTTGAGGCCAGGAGTTCGAGACCAGCCTGGGCAACAGAGCGAGACCCCCACCTCTACAAAAAATTAAAAAAATTAGCCAGGTGTGGTAGCACAAGCCTATAGTTCCAACTGTTCAGGAAGCGGAGGCAGGAAGATTGCCTGAGCCCAGGAGTTGGAGGCTGGAGTGAGCTATGATCGCACCACTGCATGTCAGCCTGGGCAACAGGGTGAGAATTTGTCTCTAAACAAAAAAATAAATAAAAATTAAAAAATTAAAAAAAAAAAAAAAGATTTGGCCCACAGGCCATAGTTTGCCTAGACCCCTGACCTAGGGAAAGCAATGGGCCCTCTCCCCAGAAATATTTCCATATACCTGAAATTTTGTAAGCAGTTTTGAGGGTACACAGGAGTAAAAACTCCTGACTAAAGGAGACACACCAGGGTTTCCAGTTCAATATACTGATAAGCCCATGAAGTTTGCTACCCCAAATCCTAATGAAAGACAAAAACATACAGGAGAAAATCTTCCATAGTAGTTCTGGGAAATGTGGAAGGATACTATTATCCATATGACAATAAGAAAATTCTGTAAGATATAAAGGATGAAGAAATAAAACTGGCAAACAAAACAAAAACTTTACCATAGCCACTCACTGAAAAAATCGTTCCTGGAGTGCTTGGGGGTGGAATGCCAGAAAAGAGCTGGCAGACCTTCCACTCTCTCGAAGGCGAAAGGGGCCTCCACCACATGGAAGGCAGCTTCCTTGCAGAGGGAGGACAGGAAAGCTGAAGAAACCCATTCCAGGCACTCTGGACTTTCGGCTAAGGCAGGCTGGGAACAGGGCTAAAGAGCTTAGAGAAATCCCCCCAAGGCAAACTGGATTTCAGCTACCAAGGGCAGAGGGGCAGGGCAGGAGAGCTGAGAAAGCCACCCCAAGAACCAGCGGGCTAAGGCTGAGGTGGCAGCAGAGCACCAGGCAAAATTTCACAGAGAGGAAAAAAACCATCTTCTGAGGGCTGGGATCAGGGACACAGTGTAGAGAGAGACCACCTGAGACAGAGGAAGCCAGAGGCAGAACAGAGCAGAAAGAACTCTCAACTGCCTGGCAACCTGAACAACAGGCAGTATCATACACGGTGTGAATTCCAGTGCCAACTGGACAAGCCATTGGAAAAGAATTTGGAATTAGCTATCAAGAGTGTTAAAGAAATGCACCTGCCTTTAACATATGTTTGTTTATTCTAAGACTCTATCCTAAAGAAAATTAAAACTGTAATGTGGACTAAGTGGAATTTCATGAAATCGTAAATAATTGTTGAAACATAGAGTAATGGCTTTAAGTCAAAAAAGCAAAATACATAAAAGTCGTACACTTTTTACATGATGTCAATTATGTAAATGAAAATAAAACGTAGGCTCAGGAAAAAAGAAGGTTCTAAAATGTTCACAAAGGTCATTTTCTCCTTTATATTAAAAAAAAGTGTGAGGGAAAGGAATATACTTTTTCCCTACAATAAACATTGAGCTTACCAAGTGAAGTCTACAAAATTCTGAGGTGCCCACAGAATGTTATTTTGTATTGTCAATAATGAGAAAATTACATTAAAACATAGAAAGACAACTTACATCTTTCACGGAATGTGTTCTTCCTAAAGTGTTCTTTGAATATCTTGCACTATTAAACAGAAAAAAAAATTTAAAAAACCATGCACACACACAACAGTTAGGAAATATTTAAATTATTGGGGAAAACACTATAATTTGTGACCCTTTCCAAGCATTTTCTTTCCAAATTATCTTCCTTATCAGTTGCACTAATAGTGTGCGTCCAATGAAATTTAGGTTATGGTAAAATCCTTTTAGAAAGCAGAACCTGTACCCTACAAATTTAATTATACTTCTTATAGGCCAAATCCTATCATCAATGTATAAAATAACATACCTCTTTCGTGAGGGACGTGAAAAACTCCTAATCATGCTGTTATCCCGTTTCCCTGAGGTCCTAATCAGCAATTATTGACTTTTGCTGCAGAACTGAGCAAAGGGGAGGTACACGAACACTGAGCACCTGACACCAGTTCCGCACTAATGTGTTTTGGAGGGAAGGAACGAATAGGTTTCACGAGTCTCAAACTCCAGAGTTAAAAAAAGACAACAAAAACCACTGGCCTATCAGTTGAACTCTTTTCAGCTGACATTCAAGGCTACTATATTCTTTTCTAAGCCTCTTCTCCACTGGGCGTCTTCAGTTCTTCTCCACGGGCCACAGGGGTTTAGTCTCAGTTTTCCCCACCCCCAGCTTCCATCCCAAACCCGCACCTACAAACACCGCCTTCTCCAGGCAGGCTTCCCACAGCCCAGGAGGAGCTCCTCGGTGTACGGTTTTGTGTACCGTCTGTAGCAAGCCAAGGCTCTTCTAACCAGGTCCAGACCAGACCTTGGATGGGAATTCGCCACGAATCCATGAAGACTAACATTTTAGAGCGCAGTTTTGCAACCTATTTCTAAATACATGCCCTTTTTGATAAAAATAAACTGCTTGACCCACCCTGGAATGCCGGTTTAACAAGAGGCAGCTTGGCCCCCCAGCCAGAGATTTGTTTCAGTTTACAGTCTATAGTTTGTGTTACAAAAACAGCAGGGTCTTCAAAATACGAATACTATCAGCTAGAGTGCAAATGTCACTAGAACACGTCTGGCAAACAGCAGACATTTAATAATGACTTGTTGAATATTTTGTTTTCAAACTAGTATTTTGAGACCTACTACTTTAGACTACGCTCACTCACACAAAGTAATGCGAACACTAGCTTTCTCTCCTACCTGCTGGATAGTTTTAAGCCGTAACTCCTTTAATCTAGGAAGTTCAGACTATTAACATATCCGTTTTACAGGCGTGAAACGAGGCCCTGAGCGATTAGCTACTCAGCCGAGTCCCACAGCTGCAGCACGAACGGCTCCAAGAGGCACAAACCGCGGCGGAGTGGCAAAAGCTAAAGCACGCCTCCAGCCCCGCGCTCCGAGGATCGGCCGTACTTACCCCGCACGCCCGGGTACCCGCACCCGCCGCCGTGGCGCCATCGGGTCGTTCTCTGCGCCGGCGCCGTCCGAAGCTCCCGCCAAGACCCGCGCCGCTCAGAGCAGCCAATCCGGGCGGAGCGTGTGCGCTCCGCCCCTGGGCTTCTTTCCGGAGCGAGCCCAGGCTCCTCCCCAGCCTGGAGCGTGACAGAAAACCCGGCCTGGATATCCGACCACAACGGAGCTGGAGTCCATGCCTTACAACCCGTCGCTGACGGTTCGTGAGACGTCAAAGATTTTCCGGGCTTTCCCTCCCACCCGCACCGCCAGTTTACCTTCGCTATAAAACCCGGAAGTCGCGTGAGCCCGCACCTCAGGGGCGGGGAAAGGGGAGGGGCTAGAAGGTAACAGGTGGAGCCAGACCCGGGGAGGGAGCTGCAGCTGTGGGGCTCCGGAGCGGTTGTCTAGCAATGCATTGCATTTGGTGCCTGGCACCCTGCTGTCTTTAATCTGCAGTGTGAGCTTGGCTTGTTGTTTTACCTCTATTCCAGTATCTTCATTTGTAAATATGCAGGGTCCTTTATGGAGCTAATATTCTCCGATTCTTTTCTTTCTGTTAAAATTTTATGATAACGCAAAAGAATAAAATTGAACCCTTACCTTACACCCTATATAAAAATTAACTCAAAATGGATCAAAGACCTAAACATAAGAGCTAAAACTATAAAACTCTTAGAAGAAAACATAGGGCAAAAGCTTCATGAACTTGGCAATGATTTCTTGGATATGATACCAAAAGCACAGTTTGGGATGATGAATGGTGGTGGATGGTTGTGCAACAAGGTCAATGTACTTGATGTCACAGAACTGTATACTTAAAAATGATTAAAATGTTAAATTTTATGTTAGGTATATTTTACAATAAAAAACATAACATGTTTCATGCATACAAAAGAATATAACATATATAATGTGAAGATAAAAACAAACACCCATGCACCCATCACTGTATTGGGACATAAATCATTATTTTATATAATTCTTGAGCACCCCTCTGAATGGCACCCTTCTTCCCCCAAGAATAACCACTCTTCTGATTTTATGTTTATCACTCCTATGCTTTTCTACCTTGCTATATCCCTAAATAATGTATTAATTTTTGTGTGTTTCTAAACTTTATATAAATGATATTTGGTAAGCATTCCACAAGTGCCCTTTCTTACTCAAAGCTATAACTTTTGTATTTATCCACATTGTATCCACAGCACATGTAGTGTAGTTCATTCATTTTCATTGTCTGTGGAACACATTAGGTAAATATACCACATTTTATTTATCTTTTGTGTATGGATACATCAGTTGTTTTCAGTCCTTTGCTATTACCAACGATGCAGCACTAAACAATCTCGTGTGTGTCTTGCAGAGCACATGTCTTTCTCTAGGGAAAGATTCAGCAGTGATATTACTGCTATGTAGGCTACAGACATTTTCAGTTTTATGTGATAATGCCAAATTTTACACATTGTTTTGTAGATTATACAATTGACATGACCATCAGCAGAGCAGTGTGTAAGACTCCCCTTGGCTCTGCATACTTTCTTTTTTTCTTTTTTTTTTTTGAGACAGAGTCTCACTCTGTTGCCCAGGCTAGAGTGCCGTGACATCTGCCTAGCTCACAGCAACCTCAAACTCCTGGGCTCAAGCCATCCTCCTGCCTCAGCCTCCGGAGTAGCTGGGACTACAGGCATGCGCCACCATGCCCGGCTAATTTTTTCTATATGTTTTTAGTTGTCCAGCCAATTTCTTTCTATTTTCAGTAGAGACAGGGTCTCGCTGTTGCTCAGGCTGGTCTCGAACTCCTGAGCTCAAAGGATCCTCCTGCGTTGGCCTCCCAGAGTGCTAGGATTACAGGCATGGGCCATAGTGCCTGGCCCACATACTTTCAAATACTTAGCAATTTCAAGAGTTTTTCATTTTTTACCTATCTAGTGAGTTATAATGGTAACTTCTTGTGTTTTTGGTTTGCCTTTCTCTGAAGTTGATCATCTTTTCATTGTTTTTTCTCCCCCTCACCCCCACTTCAATGAGCACCAGAATCTTTTCATTGTTTATGGGTCATTCCTGTTTCCTCTTCAGTGAAATGCTTGTTCACCCTACTCAGAAATCATCTGTGTCAGTGCCATTGAAGGGTAAATCGCCTTGAGGTATTGAAGGTAGTTCCTCATCGATGGGTAGAAATAGGGTTCCTGGAGCCACTGAAAGTTGTCACCCTTAGGAGAGTGGGTAGGTTGCTCCATTTTCTGAGAAAGGAGATACAGTCAAAACTTTTATGCTTGTAACAGAGTAGTCACCCCTCGTGCCATAGATATGGAAGGGAAATATTGACAGTGGGGAATATGTAGCAGAGGGAATGGCCTGAAAAAACAGTAAAAATGTTTTGTCTCTTTAAAATCTTCTCACTCTTTTTGAGAACTAAAACCTGTCTCAGGCCAGTGGTCGGGAGGGGCAGGGGAATGTCCTTTGTTCTTTGTCCTGCAAAAGAACTGTCTGGGAGGAGGGCACACGTCCTGAGTGGAGGTCACAGGACTGTCGTAGGCAGAAATGGGACCGAGATGGGACCATTAGAAGCTGAGAACCCACCCTTTAAAAGCTCCGTATTTCTGTTTATCATTAGGACGAAGGCATTATAGACAGTAGTCTCCATCCTCCTCATTGGCTGGCAAATTAATAAAACTCTTTCCTTCTCCTCAAACCATTTTTTCTCGTTTTTCTGATGTGGCCTCAAGGACAAGTGCTGAGCTTTCAGTAACATGCTTGCGAGTCTGAAAAAAGACACTATCCAGCTGTCAAGACAGAAAGGGCTTCAGCCAGATAGGTTTAAATAATAAAAGGGATTCATGAACCCGTGTTCCTGAGAAGTCCAGAGGTAGAATGGGTGTCAAGCTCGGTTTGATCCAGAGGTTTAAGAAGCCATCAGGGCTCTGAGTCCACTTTCTTGCCCTTCTTGTATGTCAACTTTTCCTCAGACTGGGTCCTCGCCCTGTCACCATCATCTTCTCCCTGATTTACCGAGCTTTTACAATGTATAATCCAGGCAGTGTTCCAGGTGCTTAGAATCTATTAACTCATTTACTCCTCTCAATAACCCTATGTGGTAGGCACCATAATCTCACTGTACATCTGGGGATACCGAGGACCAGTCCTGCTGTTAGAAAGTGGTGGTGCCTGACGTCGATCCTGGGAGTCTGGCCCAGAGCTTGCACCTGCCAGCATCCCAATTCCCACGTCTGAACTCTGCCCCAGAGAAAGAGACTCGCCATCTCTCAGCACTCCCGGAAAAGGGTCTGACGTACCTACCTGTGTTAGTCGGGGTTCTCCAGAGAAACAGAACCAATATATACGTGGAGGGAGGCAAGGAGGGAAAGGAGAGAGAGAGAGAGATGTCAAGGAATTGCCAGCATGATCGTGGAGGCTGGCAAGCCTGAAATCTCTAGGACAGGCCGGCAGGCTGGAAATTCAGGTAAGAATGGAAGTTGCTGTGTTGCGTCCATAATCTGCAGAGCAGACCAAGCAGGCTGGAAACTCAGGTAGAGTTTCTATGTTGCAGGCTTGAGGAGAATTCCTTCTTCAGAAAACCTTAGTCTTTTTCTTTTTAAGGCCTTCAACTGATTGGATGAGGCCCACCCACATGACAGAGGGCAATCTGCTTTAGTTAAAGTCTACTGATTAAAATATTAATCACTTCTAAAAAATACCTTCATGGCATGGTGTTTGACCAAACAATTGGGCACTATATCCTGGCCAAGTTGACATAAGACATTGACTGTCACACTTCCCCTGAACCAAACCCTGGGGCCAAGGAAATGGAATACACCCATTAGCTTCCTGGAACCACATGGATTCTCACTAGAACTGGGGTGTCTGTACATGGGGAAAGGGGAAATGGATGCTGCAAGACAGACACCTCAAATTCACAACAGAAACTTGCCCAAGGTTGTAGAGCTAGTCACAGGGAAGCCAGGATTCCAACCCAGGTACTCTAACACCCAAACTCACCTTGGTTCCACCCCACCATGCTGCTTTCTCAGTTAAACCATTAGCTTAGAACAGTGATGGTCAGTTTGGGTGGGGGGAGGTCAGAGAGAAAGGGTATTCCAGGGTCTCGGATTGGTGTAGATGATAAAGCAAGTCAATACTGTATCAGGAGGAAGACTCCAGTCTGCTTGGTCGGAGGCTGTGTGAGAACAGCCATCTTTAAGTTCTGTTGGTCATCTGTGTTGTTGAGTATGGAGACCAGAACACCTTCATGAACTTCTGGATATGCAAAGCCAGGTGTAGAGCGTAGTTCGGGGTGGGAGGAGAACACAAAGGCTCATCAGAAAACATGAATGAAAGCATGGGGATGGGGTAGGGAGGGGAAGGGCCCAGCAGAGGAGAAGCTGCAGCCAGTGAGAAAAGGAGCCCTCCCGCAAGGAGGATGTTGGGCTACTTTTTAGGGAAGCCGTGGCCAGTATTTCCTGTTTTAAGAAGGTGCCTGTGTTGTGCTGGCGGCTTTCCACTGCCGTTTGTGAATGTTTGCTAAGTCAACAGCCTTGTGTCAGGGTGCGTGGGGGCAGTGAGGAATGAAGGGAAGTGTTCAGGATAGGTTGAAGTGTGGGTGTTGGAGCAAGACAGGCGCTGAGGACAGGGGCTGAGACCACAGGAGTGGAGGCAGCGGGGTCGGGGGCCCTGGAGGTGACCCTGGACGTGACCTGGTGAGCAACCACTGAGGAGCCTCCGATGTACCAGAGAACAGGTGGCCTTGGGATGCTGGGGGACACCTAGGTAGCAGGTCCTTAAATTATATACATTTATGTTTGGGAAATGCAAAAAAAACCAACCAAACAAACAAACAAACTATTGCTTTTATCATACAAACTACAGAAAATAAGGAACTACAAAACTTCTTGGATGCTTGGGATAAATTGAGTGATTGAGCATGGACGGTTTCCTATGGAAATATATCTTCCCTGTGGAGAGGGTTAATGTATATATTAGTTCCATATTTTTGAATTATTTGTTTG